CTTGATCTCCTCTCCCTACCAAGGACTTGATCTCCTCCCCCTACCAAGGACTTGATCTCCTCCTCTTACAAAGGACTTGATCTCCTCCCCTACCAAGGACTTGATCTCCTCCTCTTACAAAGGAGTTGATCTCCTCCCCATACCAAGGACTTGATCTCCTCCTCTTACAAAGGACTTGATCTTCTCCTCTTACAAAGGACTTGATCTCCTCCCCCATACCAAGGACTTGATCTCCTCCTCTTACCAAGGACTTGATCTCCTCCTCTTACCATGGACATGATCTCCTCCTCTTACCAAGGACATGATCTCCTCCTCCTTCCAAGGACTTGCATAGCCCATTCCTGTACCCGAATGTAGCAAGCCACGCTCGAACTAGAAGCATCTCATTCCCAAATACAAAAGAATTTGTAGAACGGAAAACAAAACAAAAAAACAACTTCTATTTATTGGTTGAACTCACAACATTCAAATAGCGCAGACATCCAACGAGTCATGAAACCAAAGTTTTACAGAGAGTCAGGTGACCACAAACTGAAAGACACGCAGAGTATGGCCAAAAGAACTCCTGACCATCACATCTATAGGTGCCGGCTGAACATCCCATTCCACGGGCATCTATGTGAAAGTGTACCCCCACTTCCCTTCCCCTTGCCGCTACAACATCCTTCACTCATCTGAGGAGGTGTTGAGGTCAGGCCACTCTTCCAAGTTCCTCCGAACCCAACTGGTGTCTTTGTTGAGGCCAGGCCACTCGAGTTCCTCCGAACCCAACTGGTGTCTTTGTTGAGGTCAGGCCACTCGAGTTCCTCCACACCCAACTAGTGTCTTGAGGCCAGGCCACTCAAGTTCCTCCAAACCCAACTGGTGTATTTGTTGAGGTCAGGCCACTCGAGTTCCTCCACACCCAACTAGTGTCTTGAGGCCAGGCCACTCGAGTTCCTCCAAACCCAACTAGTGTCTTTGTTGGTCAGGCCACTCGAGTTCCTCCAAACCCAACTGGTGTCTTTGTTTATAATGTCTTTGTATACTGTAGTAATAACAGTGGGAACACTCACGATTGGAGGGTGTGCCTATACGCTTGGCCACATAGTAGGTGTGATGGTCAGGTGACCAATTACGTTTGGCCATAAAGTGTATCAATGAAAGACAATTTCTGATTGGTTGCTCTGTTTCTTTACACATAGAAGACAAATAAAAGCCCGCCCTCCAGGAGCCACACCATGAAGCCTCCCCCATTACAATATAAAAAAAACCTCACCAGCATACATCTGCTTATAAAGAAACAATGTTGCAACATAACTACTCATAACTCATTACAAAACATCACTTGAAACATTGCTTTATTCCTCCCATTTCGGTTGCTTCCTTTGGTCAGGGTGTTCAAGACTCAGCCACCTGCCTGCTGTCCTAGTGGGCCACCAGTTGCCATAGACCTGAAAGTTCAGTGCAGGAACCACCTCTCCATCAATCTTTATCTACAAGATGAATTCACAATTATAAGAGGTTGATCCTTTGAGACCTCTCTACCTATCCATCTCTGTAGAAAAAAGCGGCCCCCACACTATTTTATCATTCTGATGTCTCGGAGATGAGTTGATTTCCATACCGAAGCCATACTCCTCATCTAAAGAGGACACTGGTCCATACCAAAGTCATGATAGACACTGTTCAACATCTCAAGAGGTTTGTTCTTTGAGTGGGACCTCTCTATCTACCCAGCGTTGCCTTCAGAACATTTCTGGAAATCCTTCCTAGAAAAGGTCCCTCAGCTCTCTGAACATTGTGATGTCTCGGAGATGCGTTGATTTCCATACCGAAGCCATACTCATCATCTAAAGAGGACACTGTCCGTACCAAAGTCATGATTGACACTGTTCAACATCTCAAGAGGTTTGTTCTTTGAGTGGGACCTCTCTATCTGCTCAGCTTTGTCTTCAGAATATCTATGGAAATCCTTCCTGGAATAGGTCCCTCAGCTCTTCAAACATGTCTAGAAGTTATGATCTTTATCTATAGATGACACCATTCAACAAGAGGCTTATCCTTCGAGTGTGACCTCTCTATCTACCCAGAGTCTGACCTCTCTAAATACCAAACTTTGCTTTTAGAACATCTCTGGAGATCCTTCCTAGAAAAGGTACCTCAGCTCTCTGAACATTATGATGTCTCGGAGATGAGTTGATTTCCATACCAAAGTCATACTCATTATCTATAGAGGACACTGCCCGTACCAAAGTCATGATCGAAACTGTTCAACATCACAAGAGGTTTGTTCTTTGAGTTGGACCTCTCTATCTGCTCAGCGTTGCCTTCAGAACATCTATGGAAATCCTTCCTGGAATAGGTCCCTCAGCTCTTCAAACATGTCTAGAAGTTATGATCTTTATCTATAGATGACACCATTCAACAAGAGGCTTATCCTTCGAGTGTGACCTCTCTATCTACCCAGAGTCTGACCTCTCTAAATACCAAACTTTGCTTTTAGAACATCTCTGGAGATCCTTCCTAGAAAAGGTCCCTCAGCTCTCTGAGCATTGTGATGTATGGGAGAGGAGTTGATTTCCATACCAAAGCCATACTCATCATATATAAAGGACACTGTCCATACCAAAGTCATGGTCTTAGCTATATATGACACTGTTCAACATCACAAGAGGTTTATCCTTCGAGTGCGACCTTTCTATCTACCCAGCTTTGCTTTCAGAACATCTCTTGAAATCCCTCCTGGAAAAGGTCCCTCAGCTCTTCAAACATGTCTAGAAGTTATGATCTTTATCTATAGATGACACCATTCAACAAGAGGCTTATCCTTCGAGTGTGACCTCTCTATCTACCCAGAGTCTGACCTCTCTAAATACCAAACTTTGCTTTTAGAACATCTCTGGAGATCCTTCCTAGAAAAGGTCCCTCAGCTCTCTGAACATTGTGATATATGGGAGAGGAGTTGATTTCCATACCAAAGCCATACTCATCATCTATAGAGGACACTGTCCATACCAAAGTGATGATCTTAAGCTATATATGATAATGTTCAACATCACAAGAGGGTTATCCTTCGAGTGTGACCTCTCTATCTACCCAGTGTTGCTTTCAGAACATCTCTGGAAATCCTTCCTGGAAAAGGTCCCTCAGCTCTGTACATTCTGATGTCTCGGAGATGAGTTGATTTCCATACCAAAGCCATACTCATCATCTATAGAGGGCACTGTCCATACCAAAGTCATGATTGACACTGTTCAACATCACAAGGGGTTTTGATTTGAGTGGGACCTCTCTATCTACCCAGCTTTGATTTCAGATCATCTCTGGCGATCCTTCCTAGAAAAGGTCCCTCAGCTCTCTGAACATTCTGATGTGTAGAAGATGATTTGATGTAGCTATGAAAGCCATTCTCTTTAACTATAGATGACACTATTCAACATCCTTCGAGGTTTATCCTTCAAGCGTGACCTATCTACCCAGCTTTGCTTTTAGGACATCTCTGGATGCCCTAGTAGAAAAAAACGGCCCCTCAGCTCTTTGAGCTTTCTAAGGTCTAAAAGATGAGTACCAAAGCCATAATCTTTATCTATTGGTGACACCATTCAACAACTCAAGAGAGTTTCCCTTAGAATGATCACTTGACCTACCCGGCCTTGCTTTCAGAACATCTCTAGCAACCCTTGCTGGAAAAGATCTTTCAACTTGAACATTCTGATGTCTAGAAGCTATGATCTTTATCTACAGATGACACCTTTCAACATCACTAGAGGTTTATCCTTCAAGTGGGACCTCTCTATCTACCCAGCTTTGCTGTCAGAACATCTCTGGAAATCCTTCCCGGAAAAGGTTCCTCAGCTCTTTGAACTAAACTCATCTTCTAGATGAGTTGATTTCCGTACCAAAGCCATGATCTTTATCTATAGAAGGCACCATTCAACATCTCAAGAGGATTTTCCTTAGAATGGTCATTGATCTACCCAGCTTTGCGTTCAGAACATCTCTGGCCATCCTTGCTGGAAAAGATCCTTCAGATCTTTGACCATTCCGATGTCTAGAAGATGATATGATCTAGATACCAAAGCCATGATCTGGAGGAGGTTTATCCTTCGATTGGGACCTCTCTATATACTCAACCTTGCTTTTAGCACATCTCTGGATCCCCTTATAATTATGGTCCCACCACACTTGGAACATTCCAACATTTAGATGATATGATCTAGATACCGAAGCCATGATGTGGAAGAGGTTTATCCTTCGATTGGGACCTCTCTATATACTCAACCTTGCTTTTAGCACATCTCTGGATCCCCTTATAGAAAAACATGGTCCCACCACACTTGGAACATTCCAACATCTAGAAGATGATATGATCTAGATACCAAAGCCATGATCTGGAGGAGGTTTATCCTTCGATTGGGACCTCTCTATATACTCAACCTTGCTTTTAGCACATCTCTGGATCCCCTTATAATTATGGTCCCACCACACTTGGAACATTCCAACATTTAGATGATATGATCTAGATACCGAAGCCATGATGTGGAAGAGGTTTATCCTTCGATTGGGACCTCTCTATATACTCAACCTTGCTTTTAGCACATCTCTGGATCCCCTTATAGAAAAACATGGTCCCACCACACTTGGAACATTCCAACATCTAGAAGATGATATGATCTAGATACCAAAGCCATGATCTGGAGGAGGTTTATCCTTCGAGTAGGACCTCTCTATAAACTCAACTTTGCCTTCAGCACATCTCTGTATCTCCTTATAGAAAAACATGGTCCCACCACACTTGGAACAATGTCTAGAAGATGAGTTGACTTCCATACCAAGGCCTTTCATATCTCAGATTGTGTTTTTCCCCCTATGATAGATTCAAATGTCAAATTCTCCCCTATATATAAAGCTGGGACTCTGAATACACATGCCGCCCCCACTCTTTTCATCAATCTAAAACCTCAGGTCATGTGAAACATTTGACAGACACCTTGTCCTGCACCCCAAGAAGGAAAATGGCACCTCACTAGTGTGGAGTCTTGCGGGGATGGACATAGAGCAACTTCCATACACTGAACATAAAAATGGTTCCATAGGACTCTCAGGGGAGTATTGGCTTTTGGTTTTGCTCTTCAACATTTGCTGCACTTGGAGGACCCACGTTCTCCCCAGAGTGGACCTTCTGATGTCTGACAAAACTGTTTTTAAAGGTGAAGCCTTTCCCGCACGTGGCACAGGAAAATGGCTTCTCACTGGTGTGGCACTTCATATGCTTACTAAGGTTCCCTTTAATTGAAAAACATTTGCCGCACTCGGAACAAGGAAAGGGCTTCTCTCCCGTGTGGACCCTCTCGTGGGTAACAAGTTTATATTTCTTTGTGAATGATTTGCCGCACACCGAGCACGCAAAAGTCTCCCCGGTGTGGACTCTCTGGTGTAGAACAAGTTCAGATTTCTTTTTGAATGTCTTCTGACAGTCCGCGCATGAAAAAGGACGCTCGACCATATGGCTGCTCTGGTGCGTAAGAAGGTCTCCTTTCTGAGTAAAACTTTTCCCGCACTCAGAGCAAGAATACGGCCGCACCCCGGTGTGAAGCCGCTCGTGCAGAATGAGACTGGCTTTTTGCGTGAAGCTTTTCCCGCAGTCCAGGCACGAAAAAGGACGCTCGCCCGTGTGAGTTCTCTGGTGTCTCAGAAGGTCTCCTTTCCTGGTGAAACATTTGCCGCACTCAGAGCAAGAGTACGGCCGCACGCCGGTGTGAAACCGCTCGTGCACGATAAGGTTAGCCTTCTGCGTGAAACATTTCCCGCACTCCAAACATGAAAAAGGTCGCTCGCCCGTGTGACATCTCTGGTGTCGAAGGAGGTCTCCTCTCCATATGAAGCATTTCCCACACTGCGGGCAGCAGAACGGCTTCTCGCCGTTGACGAGTTTGGATCGGGAAATGTTTCCCTTTTTTCGGCCCCGGCTGCCTGCATTATTGTCGGTAGACAAGATAAGATGTCCCTCCGAAGTGTTCCAGACGTGGCATCCATCTGTTGGAAATAAATGATTTATTAGTGTTCGGCGCCAATAATTTTTTCCTCTTTCACAGGCAAGAGTTACGTCTGGAGGTCTAGAAGTCAGAAAGCTCAGCCATGGCACCATATAGGGTCAGCGATCAATATTAAGTAATGAGAAACAATGTATAACCCCGCCCCCAGATAAATATTGTCCATGAAAGTCCTCACCTGGCCCATCAGGGCCTGGAGCCAAAGGTTTCACCTCCACTGACCATTTGCCAACCCCAACCATAAGGATAAGTAGGGTCACCTTCCTGTAAGCCTCCTCCCCTCCATCTGTGGAGCAACTACAAACCCCAAGAGGCAATGCAAGCCCCTGACATCCACAGGCATGGCTCCCGGAGGCCCCAGATGGAGGGACCAAGTTTTCATACCCCTCCCCTAGGCTCAAGCATTCAGATCCTTGTCCCTAAACCTCAGGAAGGCTCCAGGTAACAGTTAAGTACCTAAAGGGACATCAATTATCAGATGTGTGGGGAGCTCCTAGAGAGGAACCTTGGCTAGATATTCCCTTCACCGTCAACTTTCGCAAACAAGACTTCGCATAAATTGGTATTTTGTGGGTTCTATTCCACATGAAATGGTTCCATTTTCTGCTCCCCTGAGTAGACACCTCAGATGAACCCAACCACCCAACTATATGACCAACTGTGGTGATCATATAGCTGAAGGATGTTCTTCATATGGATGGACTCATTGGGCCTACAAGTTTTTATTTTTAGAAAAATAGAAGAGTCAGATATCAACAAACTCGAGAAGACACCTTGGGCATCTGTGGCCTTCATGGTTCACTAGACCTGTCAGCCAATGTAGAAGAACATCAGCCCAGAATGACTCGGAGCCAAGGTGAGACTCGTCCATAAGGGAACATTATTTGGTTCTATCCTACAGGGAATGGGTTGAAACAGGTGGGTACTGAAGCCTACAGGAATGGAGTCTGCTGGCTTTGAACCCTTGACAGTGGTCACTCCAAGACCAGGAAATGGTCGATCTTCTCCACAAGTTAAAGACCTTCTTCCACCTAAGACACCGAGCTAAAGCTGAGCTCTTACTTCTGTGCCGAGGAACAAAGCCTACAAGGGGAAGAGCAGTGTCCCAGAATGACTCGGACCTGAGGTGAGACTTGTCCATAGGGGAAGACAATTTGGCTCTATCCCCCGGGGAATGGGATGAAATGGGTGGGTACTGAAGCCTACTAGAATGGAGTCTACCGCCTTTGAACCCTTGACAGTGGTAACTCCAAGACCAGGAAATGATCGATCTTCTCCACAAGTTAGGGGAACTAGGACCTTCTTCCCCCTAAGACACCAAGCTAAAGCTGAGCAGAGGAACATAGCCTATAAAGGAGAAGAGCAGTATCCCAGAATGACTCGGAGCCGAGGTGAGACTTGTCCGTAGGGTTAGACAATTTGGTTCTAGCCTGAAAATATGAAAGGTTTCAGCACTACTTACCCGTGCCGATGCCTAGAGAAGGTTCCTCCTCTTCAGTTGTCACAGTAGATGGCTGATCATCGCTCACGTACATCTCCTCTTCTTCGTCTTTGACCTCAACTTTCACATAAATCAGTTCTTCCCTCTAAGCCATCAAAGTGACAGAAAGTTAGATGAGCACTAATAACGGGAGGACACACAGAAGGATACACATTCAAAGATCGGAGTCTCTCAAGTTCTAGACGCTCAGTTCCACCGACCTGGTCATGGTGGGGGATGGTGGGATCTTCCTGGGTGGAATCCCGGGAATACAGGGGGCGGGGACATCTCTCTGGTGGGTTCCTCTTACTGGATCCATCTGTAGGAAACACACACACTGACTGATACATTGTTTCTATGTGTGTATCAGATGATGGGGGATGTAGGTGGACCCTCCGTACTTATATCTGCTTTACATTACACCCCTTGTCTGTTCCCGGATCATGTCCCAGAATCCCCGGCACCGCTCACCTCTCCCGTCAGCAGCTCCATCATCTTCTTGGTGGCTTCTAAAACCTTCTGGACATTAATCTTCTCATGCATTAGATGAAAAAGTGATGGGATGGCGATGGGCCTCTGGCTTTTGTTCAGTCTTATGGACAGATCTGGAGATCCCGTAGTTGCGTTACGTTCAGTGGACTTCTTCATTACTACTTCACAGTCCTGTATGATGCAACCAAAATTAGAATCCCACAACTCCTCCCCTTTATGGCCAGGTCTGTTTAAAAAGAACAAAGACAATGTTGTTTGGGTCCCTCAGAATCCTACTCACCTCTCCGATCAGAACGTGGATGATCTCCAATGACAACTTAAGAATTTTCTCATTTAGTAGAATTTCCTTTCTTTGACTCAAAATCTCCTCATCCTCCATCACCACGTCCTTGTAGAGATCCCGGTGTCCTTCTAGATACTCCCACTCCTCCATGGAGAAATAGACAGAGACATCCTGACACCTTATAGGAACCTGACACACACAATGATACAGTCACCACCCAGACACACCCCTCGTCTGTTCCTGGATCATGTCCCAGAATCCCCGGCACCGCTCACCTCTCCCGTCAGCAGCTCCATCATCTTCTTGGTGACCTCTAGGATCTTCTGCTTCTTGGTGACCTCTAGGATCTTCTGCTTGTTGTGTCCAACTGATATGAAGGAGGGACGTTGAGGCGCGGTGATAGGAGATGGCCCATTTGGGGAGCCGTTGGCTGTCAACCGCTCGCCAGGTATCTTATTTACTACTTCATAATCCTGAGTGCAAAGTGAAAGCAAATATTATCCCCATCTACATTCCCAGAATCCTCCTCACCTCTCCGGTCAGGTCCGTGTTTTATTAATAGATAAGAGTGATGTCATGTGACCTCCCAGAATCCTCCTCACCTCCCCGGTCATGTCTGTGTTTTATTAATAGAGATAAGAGTGGTGTCATGTCACTCTCCCAGAATCCTCCTCACCTCTCCGGTCAGCAGGTGGACTATCTCCAGCGTGAGGTCTAATATCCTCCTGGTCATGTGACTCTGGTCTTCATCCATCCTTCATGAGGTGGTCACGTGATCTATTCAAGACACTTCTCTCTGTAGATGGATATGAAAATGAGAATTATCTGGACTGTACTGGCATGGATAAGGTCTACACAATGTTTCTCCATAGTCCTAATATCTCAGAGGGCTCACTACACCATATTTCAAGACCTTCTACATCCACGAAGCTTATTAAACTAGATATTCCCTTTGATGATTGCAAGATTCGGCCACTTGTTCAGATCCAACAATTGCAGCTGCAATGCTCCACACCTTTGGTAGGCACCAGACAGAAAAGCTTTGGGTACCTCCAATGTTCTTGGGTACCTCCAATGGTCTTGGTTACCTGCAATGTTCTTGGGTATCTCCAATGTTCTTGGGTACCTCCAATGGTCTTGGTTACCTGCAATGTTCTTGGGTATCTCCAATGTTCTTGGGTACCTCCAATGTCCTCGGGTACCTCCAATGTTCTTGGGTACGTCCAATGTCCTCGGGTACCTGCAATGTTCTCGGGTACCTGCAATGTTCTCGGGTACCTCCAATGTCCTCGGGTACCTGCAATGTTCTCGGGTACCTCCAATGTTCTTGGGTACCTGCAATGTTCTTGGGTACCTCCAATGTCCTCGGGTACCTCCAATGTCCTCGGGTACCTCCAATGTCCTTGGGTACCTGCAATGTTCTCGGGTACCTCCAATGTTCTTGGGTACCTGCAATGTTCTTGGGTACCTCCAATGTCCTTGGGTACCTCCAATGGTCTTGGTTACCTGCAATGTTCTTGGGTATCTCCAATGTTCTTGGGTACCTCCAATGTCCTCGGGTACCTCCAATGTTCTCGGGTACCTCCAATGTCCTCGGGTACCTGCAATGTTCTTGGGTATCTCCAATGTTCTTGGGTACCTCCAATGTCCTCGGGTACCTCCAATGTTCTTGGGTACGTCCAATGTCCTCGGGTACCTGCAATGTTCTCCGGTACCTCCAATGTCCTCGGGTACCTGCAATGTTCTCGGGTACCTCCAATGTTCTTGGGTACCTGCAATGTTCTTGGGTACCTCCAATGTCCTCGGGTACCTCCAATGTGCTCGGGTACCTCCAATGTCCTTGGGTACCTGCAATGTTCTCGGGTACCTCCAATGTTCTTGGGTACCTGCAATGTTCTTGGGTACCTCCAATGTCCTCGGGTACCTCCAATGTCCTCGGGTACCTCCAATGTCCTTGGGTACCTGCAATGTTCTCGGGTACCTCCAATGTTCTTGGGTACCTGCAATGTTCTTGGGTACCTCCAATGTCCTTGGGTACCTCCAATGGTCTTGGTTACCTGCAATGTTCTTGGGTATCTCCAATGTTCTTGGGTACCTCCAATGTCCTCGGGTACCTCCAATGTTCTCGGGTACCTCCAATGTCCTCGGGTACCTGCAATGTTCTTGGGTATCTCCAATGTTCTTGGGTACCTGCAATGTGCTCGGGTACCTCCAATGTTCTCAGATACCTGCAATGTTCTCAGGTACCTGCAATGTCCTCGGGTGCCTGCAATGTTCTTGGGTACCTGCAATGTCCTCGGGTACCTCCAATGTTCTCAGGTACTTCCAATGTCCGCAAATGCCTGCAATGTTCTCGGGTACCGCCAATGTTCTCGGGTACCTGCAATGTCCTCAGGTACCTCCAATGTTCTCGGGTACCTGCAATGTTCTCGGGTACCTCCAATGTTCTCGGGTACCTCCAATGTTCTCAGATACCTGCAATGTTCTCGGGTACCTGCAATGTTCTCGGGTACCTCCAATGTTCTTGGGTACCTCCAATGTCCTCGGGTGCCTCCAATGATCTCGGGTGGCCTTGATCCTAACACCGGGGTTATGGAATCAGAGCACAATGGATGGGGA